AAAAAAAAAAAAAAAGTAAAAGAAAAGAAATAGAGGCTTTGGGCTTGGTGCCTGTAGCTCAGCAGCTAGGGCTCCAGCTACATACACCGGAGCTGGTGGGTTGGAATCTAGCCTGGGCTTGTCAAACAACAAGAACTACAACAAAAAATAGCCGGATATTGTAGGAGGCACATATAGTCCCAGCTACTTGAGAGGCTGAGGCAAGAGAATCGCTTAAGCCCAAGAATTTGAGGTTGCTGTGAGCTGAGACGCCACGGCACTCTACCCAGGGTGACATAGTGAGACTGTCTCAAAAAAAGAACGAAAGAAGGAAAGAAATAGAACCTTTGAATAACTCTTACCTGCTGAACTGGAGGGGTAGGTGTTGGAGTTGCAAGCCCAGTATCTCCACCATCGATATCAAAGAGGTCATTTGGACTAATCCCACTCTCACTCAAAGCAGCAAGCAGTAAATCCTGCCCTGGTTCCACCATCTTTAGAATGAAACATTAAATATTAACATAAAAAAATTTAAAGTGAAAATATTAACTCTCCTCTAAATATAAACAATCCAACTTTTTCTATCAGACTCATTCATTCAATATTTATGAAGAATCTGCTATGAGTCAAAGAAGATAAAAAAGAAATAATCTCTGCGGGGCGTGGTGGCTCATGCCTGTAATCCTAGCACTGTGGGAGGCTGAGGAAACGGGATGCCCACAAGCCAGGAGTCTGAGGTTGCAATGAGCTACCAAGCCACTGCACCCTGCTCAGGGGCACAGGGTGGGACTCTGTCTGGACAAAACAAAAAAACTAAAAGAAATAATCTCTGATCCCAGGAAGCACACATTAAATGAAAAGGACATACATATGTCACAGAAAGTATATATCTACAAAAGGCTATAGGAACAGAGAGAAAAATACTTAATTTGTCTAACATAGAGACGTTATAAAAATGACGATTCTCGGCTCGGCGCATATAGCTCAACCGGCTAGGGCGCCAGTCACGTACACCTAAGGTGGCGGGTTCGAATCCCCAGCCCGGACCCACCAAAACAACGATGGCTGCAATCAAAAAAAAAAAAAAAATAGCCGGGCGTTGTGGCGGGCTCCTGTGGTCCCAGCTACTTGGGAGGCAAAGACAGGAGACTCGCTTGAGCCCAGGAGTTGGAGGTTGCTGTGAGCTGTAATGCCACGACACTCTACCCAGGGGGACAGCTTGAGGCTCTGTCTCAAAAAAAATAAAAAATAAAAATAAAAATGACGATTCTCTGAGCCTCAACAAAGAAATCATCAAATGATCTTCTGGACAGTGCATTCAAACGCATGAAGGAATGAAAAGAATCTGACTCTCCTTAAGAACCATAGTCAGGCTCCGATCCAGCCCAGGCCCTCCAAACAACAATGATGGCTGCAACCAAAAAACAGCCGGATGTTGTGGTGGGCACCTATAGTCCCAGCTACTTGGGAGGCAGAGGCAGGAGAATCACTTGAGCCGAGGAGTTGGAGGTTGCTGTGAGCTGTGACGCCAAGGCACTTTACCCAGGGTGACAGCTTGAGGCTCTATCTCAAAAAAAGAAAAAAAAAAAAGAACTATGGTTAGAGTAATTCAACATGAGCATGAAAGCTCACAAGTATGAGGTTTGGATACAATGTGGCCAGCACTGAGGACACAGCCCACAGCTCTGTACATCACACTAGAGAGTTCACTTAATCCTGTCAGTAACGAGGTTCTCAAAAGGGCTTTCAGATGGAGGACTGTTTGATATAGATTTGTGATAGGACATTCAACAGCAGTGTGGAAGCAACCTAAGAGGGAACAGATTAAGACCAGAAACAGGAAGCCATTTTAGGAAACTGCCACAGCAGAGGCAGATCACGAGAGATGATATGTTACAAACGTAAAGAGTAGAAAGAAAGTAGGGGAGTGGAATCCAAGATCTTTAGAAAGGATGACCCACTGGCCTTAAACAAAAACTTAGAAGGGACTAGGTGCAGTGGATCACACCTATATCCTAGCACTCTGGGAGGCCGAGGTTGATGGATTGCCTGAGCTCAAGAGTTCAAGACCAGCCTAAGCAAGAGCAAGAAAATAGAAAAATTAGCAGGAGCATCATGGTGGGCACCTGTAGTCCCACCTACTCAGGAGGCTGAGGCAAGAGGATCTCTTGAGCCCAAGAGTTTAAGGCTGCTGTGAGTTACAATGCCAACGAACTCTACCCAGGGTGACAGAGGGAGATTCTTGTCTCCAAAAAAAAAAGCAGCACACCAGAAAAAACACATGAGTTGATGGATGATTAGAGTTAAGCCAAGAGAAAACGAAAAATAAAAGCTGAGTTCAGGGCTCGGCGCCTGTGGCTCAAGCCACCAAGGTGCCGACCACATAACCTAAGGTAGTGGGTTCGAATCCAGCCTGGGCCCACCAAATGACAATGATGGCTGCAACCAAAAAAATGGCTGGGCGTTGTGGCAGGCACCTGTAATCCCAGCTACTTG